GTCTTATTTTCCCAGTGTTGAACTATGTTCAAGTTTTACATTGTCTATGAATAGACTTCTAGTGAGTTATGATGACAGCTGCCCACTGCTTTTCTTATCACGGGGTCTTCAATTTAGGGAGTTAGCAAATGTTAGGGTTTGTTAAGAAGCTGTCAGTTTACATTGGTATTTGTCATTTTATTTCCTTTTATAGTTTTTTTTTATTAATAAAATGGTATTTTATAACACTAGCTGTGCAAATCAAAGGTAAGAATGTGTATTCTGGTAAGGCTGAAACAGAAGAATTCAAAATGAAGAGGAATACCCGGTTGTTCTTAATCTGGTCTTCTTGTGAGTTTTTTCCCTTGTCTCTGATCCTGTTTTGATATTGCCAGACAGGATCTAAAAACATAGACAGGTTGAGGAGAGTGTGTGTTTGAGCCTTGTTTGTGCCTTGAAATAGCATCCATGCTTTTTGGAGATGGAGTGTTTCTGCTGGCTTTGTCGGAGCATGACCTTTAGCGAACACTGGAATGATTTGCAGCTGAGTGTGAAATGTTTGGAAAGACATTCAGCACCTCCAAGCCTGAGACTATGGTTCCCGACTAGAAAATAGTAGAGTGCTCCCTCTGGGTTGGCAGAAAGATGCTTTCCGAAATGCAGATGTTCAAGCATCTGAGGATGTGACTTATGTGACTTCAATAGATCACATGATGGAGTGGGGCAAGGTCTCACAGTGGTTCCACCCGAAACCTCTGGCAGTAATGACCCATGCCTATTTTCACGCCCTGACTCATGTGATGAGGTACATGATTAATAGTCAAAGGAACACCTTCAAAGGTACAACCCTCACTAGGGTTTCAATACTGGCGACTTTCCACTTTTTGGTTTTAGAATTGAAGAAATCTCTTGTATGAAAGCCAAAACACCTTCAAAGCACTTAAATAAGTCCAGAACACTTAAACCAAACACTTAAACCACCCTTTTTTCAAGCTATTTAGACTAACATGACCTGGATGACTGAGAACCTTACACAGACATGACTTAGGATCGTATTCAAGCGGAGAAACTGGTTCCGCTGGTGGATTAATATGCAAGTATTGTACTGGACAAGAAACAAGAGAACTGGGCTGGAAGGCGAAGCTTTCGTTTTACCAGTCAACGTACATTTTAACCCATCTATGGTCATGAGATCAGGGTGACGATTCAGTAAAGTAAGGTTGCAAATGCAAACAACCAAAATGAGTCATCGCCATAGTTCAGCTGGACTCAGCCATAGGGATAGGGTGAGAAACTTGGATATCCGGAGGGATCCCAGAGTAAAGCCACTGCTATGATGTCTCCTGGGTACCTCACTTTGAGGTTTTTCAGACACACCCAGCTGGGAGGGGACCCCAGAACCTGCTGACAAGATTATATGTTTCATCTGGCCTGGAAACGCCTCTCAATGCCCCAAGGAGTAACGTGTTGCTGGGGAGAAGGATGGCTGAAACATTCTGCTTAGGCTGCTGCCACCAAGATGATGGATGGACTTATTGATGGATGGCATTGTTCTCTGCTGCTTTGCTGAAAATCAGTGACATGAAATGTAAAGTTCTTCCCGAGAACAAGTTTCTTTAAAATACACTGAAAAGTTCTCCAATGCCATGAGCCTGAGAAGTACCAGCAAACAAGAAAATGGTTATTTGAAGGCACTCGTGCCTGTAGCTCCAGTGGAAGTCCCACGTGTTGGCGGTCCCTACTGTAGTGGTTTTGAGAAGAAATCCAGAGTCAAAGAGGATTTAAATGCAAAAGCATCACATGCAGACATTGCAAGCTTGGATTGTCTGGCTGTGAACGGTTGACTTCTAAAGGCAGCGGTTAGGCTCATTTTGAACATCCTTTATGGACATCATTTTGTATTTTAATTACAGTTTCCGTGCACATGGCCCTGCTGCACACACTCAGCACATGCAGTGACACTGTAGCTTAAGTATTATTGCACTTACCCAACCAGTGAGAAACAATTAAATGTTACTTAACAGAAAAACAACTTTTAGGAAATGCTTGATCTCTCATCAAAGCTTTTTTTTAAAAATAGGTTTTATTTAACGTTGAAACCCTATGGAGCCATCATTTGAAAGCATATGCATCTCATCAATCTAAAGGATCAGCTTCACCTTTCCCTGCTGCACTTAAAGCACATTTGCTTCATTTCTAGAGGTCAAGTGAGGTTCTCTGTGGAAGTCCTCACATTCCTCTACCCCTCCAGCTCGGTCCAGTTTGTTACTTGACACTTTCCAAAAAAAGGAGGTACTTAATTGCAGGTCCCGTTTTTGTTTTGCTCTCTCTATCATTGTCGTTTTATTGATCATTTTTTCCCCTTGTTCGGCTATGTGTGCGCACAAGCGCATGTTTGCATGTGTGTCTGAGTGCACATATACAGTATGTGTGCATGTGTGACTTGTAATTAGCCTCTTGCTCTGGTCTGTATGGCATTTTAACAAATGCTTCTATATATATCATGCTATCAGGCTGAGGTTTTAGCAGTGTCACTCCCTGCCACTTTCTCCTCTTTCCATCCCTCTCTCTTTCGCTCTTCTCTTCCTGTTCCTAGTGGTTTCTCTGTCCTCGCTTTATCTCTCTCTTCCCCCCTAAAATTATGCCTCGGAAGCCTGTCATTGCCATGAGGCACCTCGCCGGACCAAAATCATAAACTCATTACATGTTTTATTTTCTTGTTTGTATAAGGCATGGCTATTATGGCTTTCCATATGTGTATGTGTGTTTGTGTGTGTTATCTGCATATGTGGTTTTAACATATATGGTAATACATGGTTCTTATGTGCATACATCAGGTGTACAAACCCTGTTAAATGATACCTTCAGCACACGCTTACTGATACATGTGTGTGTGATGTGTGTACACATGTGTGTCCTGACCAGTAAGTGGGTTTAAGCGGTTCATTTATTTTCCAACTAATGTTTGAAATGTTTTCATGTGTGGTCGAAGGTGAAGTGGTGCCTTGGAGCGGTCACCCACACACACACACACACACACACACACACACTCAGACACCCACTCAGACATATACACACACACATGCAGGAGGGGCATGTCCTGAGGCTGTCAGGGGTGTGTCTGTGGTCAGAGTGGCACTATAAGACACAGGCAGGTACACTGGACTTTTCATTCAGCTTCACAGAGTTGTGTGTGTGTGTTGTGTCTGTGTGTGTCTGTGTGTGTATGCGGCTGAGTTTTCTGTTACTTCTCTAACTTGTTTAACTATCTAAGTGTTTAACAGCTTTTCAGAGTCTTAAACTTTCTAGTTTTTCCTTTTTAAGCGACTTTTCAAAGTTCCACCGAGCTCAGGGTGTTTAATCGAGCATTTTTGCAGCAACTTTTGCACAGTTAAAAGAAAGTAAGGCAGTTTGACTTTGGCCCTGACTCAGCATTTGTAGCAGCACACACAGCATCCCTACTGAGTTGCCACAGCAACTGTGTCAGTCCACTGGAAGTCTGGGGTAAGTATTCAGCCTTGCTTTTCTCCTCTCCCTCCCATTACCCTTTTCACTTTTACAGCCTCCATCTTTCCCCAATATCTCTTTCTCCTGCACTTATTTCTCGTCCTTTCCACTGCGTGTCCTTTTCCCCTTTATTTTTTTGATTTGCACATTCTAAACGCTTCTTATGTTTTTGCTTTTGTCAGTGGCTGTTTTACAAGCCCGTTCAGAGACATTCTGTCTGCAAGTTCCACCTTCTCATTTCTGAGAAAAAAGACTAAATCAGTCTTTGGCATGCAACAGAGTGTCACTACATGCACATCTGATATTTAGATTTCCAAGAAATAGTCTGATATATACAAAGAATTATCATGTATGAATCTGCTGCATGTAACAGGCTATGGATCCTCACCTAATCCTAGCCCGGTGTGAATTCACAGCCCCCACAACTGTGGCAACAAATCCTTTTTTTTGTCAATTGCGTAGTAACACCTCACCACATAATATTTCTGTATATTTTTATGGTGAGTTTTGAAAAGTTAGTCTCAAAAACGCATTTGTTTCTATAATATGTATTCAGTGGAATTCATTCAATTTATCACAGTCAGTCAAGCAGATCAGAAAGACGAGTGCAAGAGTTTGGCTTCTCAGCAGTATTTAAAAGTTGACAATACAGCAGACTTTGGCTGGAGTGTCAGAATACTATAATTGCAGCTGACAAACCAATAAGTTTGCATGTAAGAGTTGATAAATGGGCTCAAGTCAAAGTTTTCCTCAGTCTGCACTGTAAGGTTTTATATAAATTTAGGTGGACTATATTGATGTAGTTTCAAATGAGCTGTTGTCAGATGTTTTTCAGGTACAGATACTGCAGAGGGGATGACACTGACTTGCTACAATGCAACAGTCACCTGTGGCACAAAGACCTTTTCATTTATTCCTAAGCTTCTTAAAAATATCTGCTAAATAAAGCAGTGTAATCATCCTCATTTACCCTCCACCGTCACAAAGCGTCACTTAGCTTTGATTGCATGGTTGTTTGAAAACTCTTCTGAATAAAGGGAAATGCCCATCGCAGGGGCAGCACGTGTTATCTAATGAATGCGGTGCAAAGTTAATCAGTGCTAAAAGTGTGCACGTGAGTACCTATGGCTCAGAAATAGCAACAGAAAATCCTCGGTTTGTACCCTGCTGTGCATAAAGAGGACATGATTCACGATAAATGATATTTACAGGAGTCACACCTGCTCCTTACCTCCCGATCGCAGGAGCCACGCTTTTGCTCCGGATAAGTGACTCAGGTGTTTTCACGCCGTGTGAACTCTTGCGGTTTTGTGTGAGTGTGCATGCCTGCGCGGTGTGCGACATAATGGAAAGTGCTGTAAGGTCGTCAGTTTTGACGTGTCGTATTTTTCCATATCAGGCTGGGAAAAGTGCCGGCACCTTTTTTTTGTTTTTGTTTACAGCATTTAAAATCTCATAAATCCTCGTGAACTGATCATGTTTTATTATTAACCCCTCGCCTGTTCTTTCTTTAGATCATATGTACATAGACGAATACATTGAAGAAGATGAGGAACCACCTTTGCTGCTCAGCTATTGTCCTCCTCGCGGTAAATATGCGCATGCTTTGTGAGCTCTGTTGTGTAAGAAGAAGAGTGTATCCACACGTGTGCGCACTTCTTCTGATTCACGAGTGCGTTTCTGTGTCTTCCAGCTGTTTGGCTGTGGAGGGACTGCAGCGGTGCAGTCTCGGTGTGGGAAAGGGTGTGCGTGTCTGCAATGCCCGGCAGGCCAGGAGCCTTCCAAGGTGAGACAACATTTTAATATTTTAATAACATTTGTATTGTTTATTATATATTTTAACACTTTCACCTCCTTAACTGCTATAAATATGCTTGTTTCAGTAGGCAACATTTGTCTTTAATTTCTATAGTGTAGAGCAGGGGTGTCAAACATAAAACCGGCCCTGACTAGACAGCTGTGCAAAATATGAAGGAAGGCATCGATTTTTGGACTTTTAGCTGCGTTATTTAAAGTTTTGCAGCTTTTCCTGCTAATAAAGACTCCCCTCACAGCCATTCATACTACACCAAAGTAGTTAAGTAATAGATAACAATTAAATAACAAAAAAGTTCCTGCTTTTCACTGTCTACTATAAAGAACATTTTCATCACTCAATCATTACTTTATGTCTTAGAAATATGGGACAATCTTTCCTGTAATTTTACACACTTCTTTATCTTATATTAATATATCTCAGGGATTAAATGTGTAGTTAAACTTCTTTACTCTGACAGAAAGTGGAGTTTCGCTCGATGTGAAATAGTGTAGAGCTTTAAAACATATTGGACCCAATACATTTCCACAGCTCGTTAAATTACTTATTCAACTCCCTCCGCCTGAGCAGCCACCTGCAGTTTATGTTCAAATCACATTTTCATCTCCTCCATTACATTATAGTCTGTGTATTTGGTCACTGCAGTTGTCAAAAATGAAGTTGTTCTTCTCATGAATCCATAAATATCGGCTGAGTCTTATAAGTGCTGCAAATCTTTATTTTATTTCTAGTTAACACAGAAGCAGGATTTCAAATTAAAACTTTCAGCTCTTTGCTACCCATCAACTCTACAACGCCACAGGGATGCTAGGTTTTCTCTTTAAGCCTCTTTTGCCTGACTTTAGACTTTTTCTTTTCTTCTCAGGCTTGTGGGCAGATCCAGAGTCCAGCTGAAGAAGTGCATTGCCAGGTGTGCCCAGCTGGAACCTTTTCAGACGCACTGGACTCTGAGGTTTGCCGTCCACACACCTCCTGTAAGATCCTCGGCCGAAAGCTTGCATCCTCTGGCAACGGGACCTCTGACGCCGTCTGTGGTCACTGTCTGACTGGGTGAGAACTCATGGCCTGAGTCTGTGGTGGTCTACCTGTATGCTTGCTAGTCCACAAAGAGGTCTATCCAACCACAGGGTGGACAATAACACGGCTTTCATTCAATATTGTAACTCATAAACTTTTATTTGTTCTAAATTAAGTCCTGCAATTTTCTCTGTCTCAAAAAAGCAAGAAAACAGTCACACACACACACGCAGGGACAAACACAGTGTGTCATTCACCACAATGGGCGGGTAACATCAAGAACAGGCACCACTGGACATAACATGCCACAAGCTAAAACCGCTGATTCATTCTTTCAGCCCCTCGTGTTTTTCTCTTCATCCATCTCTCTAATTAGGCTCTTTTTGGTTCTTTTTCATCCATTCACAGGTTTCACTCCTCTGCCGCTGGGCAAGTTTCCACCCAAAGTCCCTGCGTGAAAAGTAAGCATGCTTCTGCAGATTACCGTGTCTTAACTTGCTTTTAGTGAACTGATTTCTGCTATCACGCTGCCTACTTCTCTGATGTTTTTCGCTCTTCTTCCCCTCTTTCCTCTCAGAAGGGTTGCATGTCAGAGTGGTCCGTAATGTGGGTAACGGTCAGTCTGGTGGAGCAGGAGGACCGGCCAACAGCACAGTGGTGCGCAGCGCTGAGGAAAAGACAGCAGAGTACGCCGTGTTTGCCCTGGTGCCCGTCTTCTGTGTGATGGGCCTGCTGGGTATCCTCATCTGCAACATCCTAAAGAAAAAGGGATACCGCTGCACCGGTGAGAAGGAGGGAGGAGATGAAGAGACTGCCACACCGCAGAAAGAAGGTGAGAGATGGGAAGGCTGCTGAGAGAAAATCACAGTAATGGGAGCAAAATAGGAAAGTAGCATTTAAGTTCAGGCTGTTGTCGCGTTTGACCATAAAAATGCCAAATTAGCACACTTGGCATGCACACGATGTGGTCAAGTTTCCCTGTCAAGAGTGAAACCAGCCCAGCTCAAAGGGCAGCGCCTTTGCATGTGCACTCAGTCCCCATATGTTTTTTATGTAACTGCACGCGAGTCCATGTGTGAGGCTGTTTTATTTCTTTTTTTCATCTTAGCTGCTTTGAACTTTGACCTCACAGGGGACATTACATGCTGTAATTAGCTAAGCAGGTATTGTTTTAATGTAATGCTCCTATTTGAAAAGGTAAAGTGGGGCATTCTCATCAACCTCTTCGCCCGCCAACGTCAGAGAAACGGACTTGCGTCAACGCAGAAAGCATAAAAAGAGTCAGGGAGGGCAGGAGAAGAAAAAGATACAGAGGGGAGGGGCGTTAATTGAAAGAGACGTAGAAATTAATCCAAGAGAAAGGTTGTATGAGTTACCATACCCATTCTCTGTTGTTTGCATAATCTTGTTTGAAGTGCTTAAACGTATTTTTTTTCACCCTGTGAGCCAAATTAGCCCTTTAAGAGAGTACTCACTTAGGCAACGTCTTTCTTCCTCTTTCTCTGTGCACGCAACTGAGAAATGCACTCATTTCTTTCCTTTATGCTTCTATTGTACTGGATGTACTGTACCTACTAGGTTTCTAGTTTTCTGTAAAAGGTCACATGGGAGGCACACACCTCCAGGCAGCTTTTATTTTATTCAATTGTGTCACAAAACGCATAAAAAGTGTTTTGTTTAGGATTTTTGGGGGGTGGTGGTGAAAAGATGCTGTGAAGAATGTGGAGTAATAATCAGTTCTACTTTTACAGATTGTACTTTTCTAGATAACCAGATTGCTAACCTGCATTTATGAAACAAACCACACACACTAATGAGCTGGAGTGAGCTTGCCACACTCTACAGTAACCTACTTTGTGTTTTAATTTATTAGAATCCACTGTTGCACAAGTTCTGCAGCAGCCAGACAGCATACACGACACGCAGTTTGTTACAGCCATTTGGTGCAGATAAATAAGCAGACTTAAAGGCTAAGCTGGCTTTTCCTTCGCTCACCTGATGGTGCAAGGCTCTTAGGAAACCTGCATGGAATCGGGAGCGTCAGAGCGCAGCTGCACCCTCGACAGATCCGACTGTGTGACAGCATGCCTCACGTCAAGTGTTTGTGCAACACCTGTTGTTTCATTTACAGCGTTTTCCATAACTGCAAACATGGTAAATGGCCTGCATTTTCTAGTCCCTAAGGACCCCAAAGCGCTTTACACTACATTCAGTCATTCACCCATTCACACACCGGCGATGGCAAGCTACATTGTAGCCACAGCCGCCCTGGGGCGCACTGACAGAGGCGAGGCTGCCGGACACTGGCGCCACCAGGCCCTCTGACCACCACCAGTAGGCAAACATGGGGTTAGTATCTTGCCCAAGGATATTTGGCAGCCAGGAGGCAGCCTGGGATCGAACCACCGACCTTCGACCTTAGTGGCTAACCTGCTCTGCCACCTTAGCTACAGCATGCAAACAAATGGTTATTTTTCGCTCACTTACTCCTTCTATTAGTGGTTCTTTTTGCATTTTTATGTGCCCTCATAGGAGGATGAGAAGTTTACAGCTGTAGCAGCCTATGTAGCTACGCCTGTGTAGTGGAGGCCAGGGTGATCTATGGAGGAATGCATGCGCGCATGAGAATAGCCAGGGGTCAAAGCAACAGTCGGTGCTCTCTGTGCTCTCTGCCTATTTGTTTTAGTATCACCTTGGTTTCTTTCTCTCTTTGCATCTTGTTGTGAAATTTAAGCCCTTCTTGCACCTGAAGGGAAACTCCCTGAACTCCATCCCTCTTCTGCTATTTCATCATTCCTTCTGCTCTCCATTGATCTGGTTTCCTGCCTCTCTAACATGCCCCTCTCTTCTCATCTGAACACGATACTATCAATTCATCTCTCCTTTCCCAGCTAGATCAATAATTCAATCGGGTACCTCGACTCACTGTTTATGTCGGTCTCTTCATTTCTCCTGTCCTTCCTTCTCCTCTGCCCTCTCTCCTTGATTCTCTGGGTTATTCTCTTTCCTTTTTTCTTCCTCTATCCATTTTTAAAATAAACAGGTAATTCATTTTTATATAGATTGCAGTGTTGACCTGATAATCTGTGGGATAGTGGATAGTGATTTGCTTTTTAATTTTGCATTTTGCAAAAAGCATGAAAAAGCATGCAGAAAGCATGCAAGTGAACAATCTCGTTAGGACATAAAGCAGATAACAGTGGTTCATGTATGAGGTCCTCAGTGATGATTAGCAGAAGACCTCATGCATGAGGAAGAATTCCAACTTCAATATAAGACCTCTAATCACCATCATTGCCACATTCGACTCATGCTTTAAGGGCTGATGATGCAGAAGAAGTTAGGTACAGTAAGAGGCTGCATATAAAGCAATGACAGCTCTCTTCTTGTTATGTAACATTCATTGTCGCAGTGCACTTACCTGTCTGCACACTGTGGTCCTGACTGGCCTAAGGTTAGAGGAACTTCTTACTCCAGCACTTTTTTCCATCATTCCATCTGAGAGGAAATACCCATGGGGGTAGCAAGGCCAAGCTTAGCTCGGCAGGGCTAAAATCAGATGCTGCGGTGGCAACTCTGACTATGCAGGACTGAGCACAGTTTGCTTCACTGGAGAATGCATCGACCTTAAAATCTGAGGGGGGAACAGAAAGGGCAAATGCAGGGTTGATGCTACAGTAGATGCAACTCTGCAGTTGCTCAAGCATGAGTGCACACAGGAAAAGGTAGAAGTGAGCTGTTGACCGTTAACACAGAACTGCTGCATTTACAGTAAACCTAGATGCAAACATAATTTTTTTTAATCATAAGCCTAAACTTATGATGATTATTAAGCAAATTGAGACTCGTGTGCTGCTGTGATGTACTGTAATTTATGTATTGAAGGCTTGTTATCCATTAGATCTGCCCCTGGTGAGAAGTTAGACTGTAATGCTATTCATTGTTCTAAAGAAAAAAAGACCAAAATGCTGACATGGGGGAAACGTTTAAACAGATAACTAATCAAAAAAAGAAACATTAAAAAAATGTAAAGTAGATACCAACCAGAACTACATAATGGACTAAAATGTGGAATACGGGTAAGGAAGCAGGGCACAGATGGAAGACAATCAGTGAATCGTAGACGTGGTAGGACAAAGACAAGAAGTAGAACAACCAATAAAGGCATAAGTAGAGGTAGAAGGTATTTCCACTATTAAACGTGAAACTTGATATCAGGCTGTGACTTTGTTGGAGTATTAAAGAGACGAGAACAACTGCCACCCCGTGAAACTGATGCTGTTATGCTCGCGTAGCAACAGGCACTGTGGAGACAGAGCTATTGTTACGGTCCAACAACAGCCTAATGCTGCTTATGCAAGAAAGACAGAAATACGCATGCACAGTCGCATTTGGCATCTATATTGTCACATTGTGCTCTTTAACACACACACATACGCATTGTCATCTGGTACTGTGGGCCTGGTACATCACACACACACACACACACAGCTCAGCAGTGCTGAACAACGCATAACTGCTGAGTGAGCGAATCTCCCTCTCTCCCCTTTATCGTCATTGCTCTCCACTCAGCTGCCTCACTATGCTGTACTATTATGGGATGGTGAGTGGCAGGGGGCCATCTACATCCACCCGTATCAATCAGAGTGTCCCTTGAACAGTGTTAAAAGTGACAAGCAGTGCAATAAAAGCAGTACATACATAAACAATACTGGAAAATCTCTGTTTATTAACATTGCTTCTGCCTTACTTTAGGTAACACCTGTCCCTACATATCCGATGACCTGAATGAAGACACCATCAGTGTTCTGGTTCGCCTCATTACCGAGAAGAAAGGTAAATACTAACAGTGACATCGCATATAATTTGTGCATTTATTTAACAGATGGCAAGTAGCCTAAAAATTATAATAAACAGCAAATGAGAGTTTCAGCTTTGTCCGCAGCTTATTACTACTAAAGTGATAAATGGCCCAATTGGCCCAAGATATACACAGTAGCTTGGCTTTCCTCTCCAAGTTTCCTGCATCAATTACATCCACCTTATTTATGCACTTCTAATAAACTCCTGAATTACATTTTCACAGGCAGGAGGTGTTTAATTACTCTGATCTATAGTTTGAGTAGCTGGCATTATAGCTAAATGTGTATATGTGTGCTTGCTTCAGAAAATGCTGCTGCGCTGGAGGAACTGCTGCTGGAGTACGAGACCAAAGAGATGGCTATGAGCAAAGGCTCGTCAATCAAGTACGAGACCGCACGCGCGCACTTGCACAACCACAAATCATCACATGCATTTGCTCAGTCATGCTGCCCAAGGTCACACTTAACGAGATGGCAAAGGGGAAGTCTGGGAGAGAGAAAGAGAGGCGCTCGTCAAGAGAAAAGTGCGTGTGGGAGGATGTATCGGCAGAAATGGGAGCAGTGCAGATACATTTTCATACGCTTGCACTGAGCATGGAGACCTAAACTTGAATTTATAGGGCTATAAGTCCACATGCTACTCTCATGTTAATATTCCAGTAGTTCAGTCTGGACATTATTAGTTTCATTTAAGCTCTTTAACTAAAACAAATGCTAAAACATTCACTTAGGAGCGCACATTATTGTGACTGTGTCGGCTACATTTCCTCAGGAGCCTGATAACTGGGAGTGACTCACTCACTCGCCGAGGCTTGAAACCAGCTGCTAACACAGTTTACAGCCGTCTAGTCATGAGTCTGTCACACAGCTTCAAGCCACGCATTTGATATGACTGAGTGCATTTTATGGTAAGAACCTGAGGTTGTAACATAAGCCAAAATTGCTCAAGTTCCCAGAGTTTAATCGATGAGGCTCGAGAGAATGCCACTTTATAACAGTCTGCACTGCAGGGCTTTGATTATTGCTTCGACAGTGATGCCACATTTACCCCAATCATAATTTGTCACCTGTAAACCCCACGAAAGACTAAATTAATGATGTGATGACATGATGAGCATTAGATCTAATTTATTTCAGTGCAGACGTTTCTGGGGCCTGTGGCTGTGCACTGCTGCTCAGTGGTTCTGTCACATGTGATCTTTAGATGCCAGAACATTCTCTCTCTCTCACACACACACACACACACACACACACACACACACACACACACACACACACACACACACACACACACAGATATATACAGACTGTTCTGGAAAGCTTTCAGATCGGTATCTGGATGCGTGTGGTGGGAGGTTTTGCACAGGTTATTTGGGTTCACTGTAGCTCTCCCATACAGCGCTCGTCTCTTTTGCTCTGCCTTCCCCTGCAAAAAATAAAAAGTGAACAATGAAAAGACACACAAACCAACAAGCTCTGTATCAACAGATGAAAACTTTAGATTTGAGTTGCTAAATGATTTTATATTGACACAGAGCAGTGATCGCTGCTGTGATTGGACATATTTATTTATTTTGTGCCACATTCTAGCAGTGATTGTGTCCAGGACCAATATTAGGGATGTGCCAGTACCATGCTAGGATATTCTGGAAAGCTTAGTACAGTTTAGTATTATAACCAACACTTTTCTTACCATCACTAGTCTAAATGGCCTTTTTACAATCCTTCTGTAGATTATTTTGTGGTATTTGGATGTAACCTCCACTTACGATTTGTCTAAACTGAATATGTCAACATCAGTTTTTAGTTTTTAATAAATCTAATTTTCCTCCCCCAGGTTCCCGATGCTGTCTCCCTTATCCCAATTCCGCTCCCTTCCCAGGCTCTGCCCTCATCAGTCTCACCACCACACCATCTCCGGCCTCTCTGGCCTGGCCCCCAGACATGGTTACCGATGCACCCGTTGCGCCCAGAAAAAATGGCCCCCTGTTCTCATTCCACCCCTGGATTCTCTCAAAGATCCCCTGAAGCCCCCCCAGAGTCTCATCCTGCCCTCCCTGGACACATCCTCCGACCAGCAGAAGAGCCCCCTGCTGGGTGGAGAGTGCATGAATACACACCATACACAAGCCGCTGTGCCAAAAACTGTACAGGAGAAGATGGAAGGAAGTGAAGTGAAGGAGAAAAAGGAAGGAGAGCTCACAGTATTGTCTGTAGGAAGGTACGTGCACTTTATAACACTTTACTAAATACATGTAGCTGGGTGCTGTTCACAGGCTTCACTTTGACATAGTTAAACTTTCCTGTAGCATTTAAATTTTTGTTTGCTGTTACTGAAAGTACCCAGCATCACTGACAATAATAGTATTGCTGGTTTTTACTGAGGTCATGGATTTGAATTGTATACCACCACCTATACAGTTGCACCAGCAAAAATAAATGAGCTCTCACTTGTTACATCACAGCGGCGATTTTCCAGGGTCGGTGTAATCGAGTGACGTGAAGGAGGTGGAGAGGACTCAGAGGCAGGCAGGGTTGTGAAAGAGGAGCCTTTATTGTCAGAAAACAAAGTTCAAACAACAGGACAAGTTAACACGGAAGATATCTTGACTGAGGACACAGGAAAAGGCAGGACTATAGGTACACACAGGGGACTGATTGCACAACAGGACGCAGAGCACAGGGATTCAATCAGCAGTGGGTGAAAACAATGAAGGTGGGCTGGAAAATCACAGAAAGTAACCATGACGATGCACAAGAGAAACACACTTAAATACACTTAAAAAGGCACGAAGACTAATTATGCAGTTGATTAGTCCAAAAAAATGAACCCCTACCTCCTTTTTCTAACTACTTTTCTTTGACCTGCATGGAACGCATCAAGAGGTGAAGGGAAGGTATCAAGGAGAATTTATGAGGCCAGAGGAGAAGAGAAGGGCAGTGCTCAGAAAATCCAACTGCACTTACATTAGACTCCTTAACAATGGGATGTCTGTGGTTTTTTGAATTACAATGGACTAAAAAAGAAGGCACCTTTGAATTCATCCCAAAATGTTCTCACTGTGTTATTCCATTTTTTGCTGGAGAGATGTTCCAGTGTAACTTCAGAGGCTTTCCTACATTCACAATTTATCCAGTTCTGGGTGTTTGTGGTTTGGGTTGAGGAAGGTGAGGGGGAGCCTATCTCAGTTGATCCCAAGTAAAAATTGAATTAACTGGAGACAAAGTCAGAGAGTCAAGGCTGAGACGGTTTGAACATGTGCACAGGAGTGATAGTGGATATATGGCAGGAGGAAAAGAGGAAGACTACAGAGAAGAATCAGGGATTTAGTAAAGGAGGAGATGGTGTGACAATTCTGCTGTTTAAATTTGAGAACACCTGTGTGCACCTTTGTACTGTGTTCACTAACATTTACATAACACACAGGAGGACACAGGTACTAACGCGCAGACAAGGCAATGTCATAATAGGGTTGTTTTCTGAATGTAATAATGGTTATGTTATATGTTGATTCACAGATTTCAAGTTGCTCAGATCCCGGAGCAGAAGCCATGCACAGTGGAGACCAAGAGAGCATCCCAGGAGCAAAGGAACTCCTTCTTCGGTGGGAAGTCCTTCTCCTTGTCTTCCTCATCTGGCATCCGGAGGTAGGAACTCCAAACACAGCAAGAAGTTTTGGCCTCTCTTTCTATCCATGCTGTTTCTTTCTGTTTCATTTCCTCTGTGCACTGCCAGCACTTGAAGACTGTACTGACCAGCGACTGATGTAGTCTTGACAATTGGTTAGATTTAGTCAAATCAAATTGAGATTTATTTAAAATGACAAAAATATCATAATTAATTTTGTTTTTCATTCATGTTTGCAGGTGAAGGGACGATATTGCTACCTCGCTGAAGATGACCTCATTCACCGGCGACGGCTTGACCCGCTGACACCAAGGGTGTTTTATTTAGTTGACTGACACCGATAAACCACAACCACCTGCTGCTGGAAGTAGTTGTTTCTAATAATGCAATAATAGGAATATAACTGTATTTATTATTACATAGGCAGGTTATTGTATTTTAGACGTATCGGATGCCGCATCAGAGGCATCACAGCTACATCCGAACAGAAACGGGTCGCGAGACATGCAAGGACAGAGCGGTTAACAATAACTGACACTAGAAAGAGGGAAGCGTGTATTATACACAAATGCACTCCCGGACTTTTTTTTTTTTTTTAAAAAGGAGTGCTTCCATTTAAAAAAAAGAAAAAAGAAAACAACAAAAATAATAATAATTTATAAGAATGCACCATAAAAAACAGAAAATCTCCGCCTATCAGCCTGTGGTTTGCAACATCAATGAGCATATGAGTTTTTTAGCACCACAGTTGGCTAATAAGCCAAATAAAAATAAGAAATCTGGATCATTTGACACTTCATTATTTAAAAAAAGGTATGTTTTAATTTTATTTTAATGTTATATGTTTAAATAATTAAATATAAGTAATTTTGCTGACACCAAAACTGAGGAGGTTTCAGACCTCACTTGCTCACTCAGTTAAAACCTTTTAGAGTAAAAAATAAAACCAAATAAAAATGGCGAGATTTACATTTTCGGGATGTACCGATTTTTCTTTAAGAGGGGCACCTCAGGCTATATCGGAGCATTTTTAATGACGCCGCAGCCCATTGGCTCATTCCCAGCTGCTGTCGTCATTAGAGTGAAAGAGTAGTTACAGGGGTGGGTCTCGCTTTTGTAGAAGAAAACATGTAAATAAACATGTACATATGTAAATATGGGTGGGTTTAGACAAACATGGCGTTTTGTAATTTTAAAGTATGCATGAGGTGATACGTTAGATCCCTTATAATGGGAAAGACAACTGCACTGCACCAGCGAGTGACATTTGTGGTTTATCATTTTAAAAAAAGGAAAAAGTTAGAAAAAAACCCAGCAAATGCTACCACACTACCATGCATAAGCCCGAAGGCTGAAGTGCAGCATAAGTTTAACATGATATTTGTTATTTTTCTATCATTTGGGTGCAACATCTCAGTGCTTTTTCCTTCAGCTGTTACAGTTTCCTCTTCTATTCATGAAAACACTCTATAGCTATGCAATCTTCAAAATTCAAAGAAACCACTTCTATAAACACACACACACAGACACACACGCACATATTTATTTTTTTATTTTATTTTATAGTTTAATTCAATAAACCCACCAGTGGCTGCAGAGAATTAGCGGTTTAAATGCCTCAGTCATGCGAGCTCAGTTGGCTTTAGTTTACATCCTCCTGGGTTTTCAAGCGTGTACTATAATGATAGAGGCTTTTTTTAACTGCTCATTTTCATATTTTCTTATTATGTTGTGACAAGGAATATGACAGTATGTCTGGAGGGAAGGGTATTTATTGACTGCGTTACATGTTTTCTTTTGATTTGTTTTTAGTAACTTTCTCACTCAGACTACAGTTATCATGAAACGTATTCAAGCTGAAGTGTTGCTGAAAAGAGGGAAGGATTTAAATATTCATCTCATCAGCTTGCATGCATTTATATAATATTGCAGTTTTTTCCCTGTATGATGTTTTTACTTTTAAAATAAAGAGGTATTTTAAATGCTATCTGGTTTGGTGTTGCACTGCTGTGTGGCTTTGTGGTGTCTGGAGTTGGTGAGTATGTGAGACTTGAGATTTGTGTGAGGCTAGATTATAAAATGGCAAAATATTTGATGGGATTGCTTGAACCATGATGAACTTGTGGGGGGTTGTCACCCCCTAGTGGTTCACTGTAGATTAAAGGGATACTTGAGTCTGTACTGTTGTACGTTACTATAAATTCCCTTCTTTTCCTATGGCTCCTTGATTTAAAAAATTATTGGCACACATGGATTTAAATTAGAAGAAAAACATCCATCCATCCATCCATCCATCCATCCATCTTGCCCTATCCCAGCTGCCATAGGCCGAAAGGTGGGGTTAATCCTCGACAGGTTGCCAGTTACCACATTTTAAAAATGTCTTCTTCTTTACTACATGATTTTTACATCCTTCACATTTGTGACATGTGTTTTTCTCCGGGACATCGAGAACAAGCCTTAAATTTGCAGTGAGGTTGACCCTTGCAGGGAACACACGCATTCCTGTCTTTCATGTCAGAACAACGCTCACAGTAGAAAACCTATTAGTTCTTATACAAACATCAGGTGCTGGAAATTACTCATAAAATCAATTCTCTAAGCACACAGCTGTGATACGCCACGTAGTTTTCTATTTTCATAAATACACTATCTTTATACCCTATACATCCAAAGGCATTTAATGCATTAAGTCAGAAATCAAATACAATATAGACATTTATTTCTAATCTTCAGTCATCATAAATCTCCTTTGTCCTGATTTGCAGTATTTTAACAATAAAACGAAACTTCAGGTTTTTCCCTTTAATTTGCTCTCACTAGGATTCTTAGCAAAAAGAAAACAAAAAATAGTATCTATAACAAAATATCTGTCTTGAAGTAAAATTAACATCTCAGAAGTGTTGCACCTGCTAAACTAACGACTGGTGCAAATTTAAGATTGAAAAGTGCTCTCTTGAAGAGATCTCATCTGTCATGCAATACTGTGTGTCTATGTAGGTTTTGAACCATCCAGGTGGCAGTAGCTTTGAGTACTTCTTTTTAGGTTCTTCTGTTCAAAAAACTAATGGGAAGTCCCACTGGTGCTGTCACTTTGGAGGTGGTCCTGAGAGTCATTAACCTTCCTGCAATCATGTTTAATTCAATTCAACTTAAGTGAATATTATTTATATTGAACTAAAACAACAGTTGCCTCGAAGTGCTTTATATTTTAAGGTAAAAACTCTACATTAAAACACACAAAACAACAACAACAATAAAATGACCCACATGGGAAGAAAAAACTTCCTTTTAACAGGAAGAAAACCTCAGAGCAGCGCCAGGCTCTGGGAGGGGCGGCTATCTGCCCCGACCAGTTGGGGGTGAGGGGAGGGAGACAGGACGAAAAACACAGTGTGGAAGAGAGTGGTAGATAAACATGCGAGTCTTTAACAGTCTGTTACTCTTACACAAGCCCAGGTGGCAAACAGTCACATGGTGTTAGTGTTGTGCTGTCAAGTTTTGGATTCCACTGTTTGCTTTTGGTGGCGGCAGTTTGCGCTTCTTAGTGAGATTGCTGCGGGCATCCTGCCCTGCCAGGAAGTAAAGGATGGGGTCCACGCAGCTGTTGGCACTGGCCAAAGGTCGTGTAATCTTGTAGGCCACACTGGAGGCTTCCACCAAGCTGCAGCTGATCTGGTGAATGGATGCAAATGTCATTCAGCGATCTTTTAGAGTCATCATAACATGTTTATTATTAAAGAAGTGCTTGTCCTCACCTGTGCTGGATTCACCTGCCTCATGTATCTAAAAAAGTAGTAAAGACTCCTGGTGAGGTGGAAAGGGAGGAAACACAGCATGAACGCTGCCAGCACGATGATGATCATCTTTACTGACTTCTGTTTGGACCTCTGGGCTGTTAAGCCTCCTCTTTCCTCTTCGGTTCTTGCTCCAGACCCCCAGCCAGTATCTAGAAGCTTTCTCACCATCAGGCCATAGCAAACCATCACCACCATGAAGGGTAAGACGAACATGAGCACTGATACGACTGAGCTGTACACCAGGAAGTCATCGAAAAGCTCTGGACTGGTGGTGTCGTGGCAGATTCGCTCGGTGTTCACGTCCCTTACAGAGCAGATAACAGATTGCATTTGTTTCGGATCTTTAAACGGCACTCCCCCTGTCTGGCACTCAACCTGAGTAAAAACTTGGCTGTTCTTTTAAGTGTGTCCCATTAGGGTCACCTAAGATAAGCACAGTACAAAACTGGTGTGCCACAAAAGTCGATAGTCCACACTTAAATGCAATTAGAGACACTTTCACAAAATAAACGAAGACAGAGAAATAAAGTTACAAACATTTAATCACCTAGTTCTTGAAAAGTAGAGAATAGGAGCCTGGCAGAATAACACACAGGCCCACACTGCCACAGACACCAGCCGGGCCTGGCGGGCGCTGACCCAGTTGAGGGAGCGGACCGGATAGCAGATACCAACGAACCGATGCAGGCTGATGCAGGACAGGAACAGGATGGAACCTGTCAGAGAGGGAAAAATGAATGCTTAGCATGCCTTTTTCATAGACTAATAATTATTAGTATTACTGTGTAATTCTTTGTATTAACTAATAGATCATAAAAAAACAAAACAAAACAAAAAAATTGTAACCTGTGGTTTGCACCTTGTTTGTAAACCCTCAGTGTTTATGTTCATGAAGGCGTCTCTTGCGTGTATAAAGATATTCCTACTACTTAAGGCATTTTTTTTTGACTTGGTTAGATGATGTGAAGTTGATTTTCTTAACAATGGAAATAATTCTGTGATCATCCACTCAGTTATTCATTTGGCTTCGCTGAGCTGACGACTGCATTTGGGCCCTCCTAAAGCTTTGTGTTTCTCTCTTATTTATTTCGGGTTTATTTGGGTTTTTCAGCCCAATATTGGCCTCTCTGAATTGCACTGACATCTAAGATTATGATGTAAACCTATAAAATACATCAAGGGAACGGCCCTCCCTCAGCCATGAGACTGCTCATCTGAATTAAAGCTGAAAGTCTCCACACACACACACACACACACACACACACACACACACACACACACACACACACACACACACACACACTGTATTTCACACCTTATTGCATCATACTGCACTGACAAATAATGCATACTGTATTGCAGCATATTATCTTGCAAAGCTGTTGCTCTACAATAAGTCAAGCTCAGCTTTTGTACTGCGCTGTGTGAGTTTGTAGCTTTCCACAACTGTACCGTATAAATTGGCATAAAACAGGAAGCGTATAAGCTTGCAGAAGGGTTCGCTGAACGGCCAGTCGTTCTTGTCGGCGTAGTAGTAGATGAGGAATGGCAGCGTGAAGATGTACAGGGTGTCACACACTGTCAGGTTGAACATATAAATGGTCGAGGGCTTCCAGCGCTTGGTGTGGAACACAATCACATACAACGCAGTGGCGTTCAGCGCTAGGCCAATCACAAACACCAGGGTGTAGCTGACAGGGAGGAGGATATATTTAAAATCATCATTGAACTGACAGTAGCTGGCACTGAAATTGGTTTGGTTGGTCTTGTTGTTGTCAACGCTGGCCATCTTGATGCTGAGAAGACCTGAGGGGAAAATTGTAGAAAGGAATGAATTAGTTATCTATCTATCTATCTATCTAGCTATCTATCTATCTATCTATCTATCTATCTATCTATCTATCTATCTATCTATCTATCTATCTATCTATCTATCTATCTATCTATCTATCTATCGAGAAAAAAACTATTAGGCACAAAGGACAAAGAAAATGGTTGTGATTAGAAGGATATGACATCAGTTAAAGAAGCCCTGAATCATTTGCTTTGGCATGCTTCAACAGCACAGTCCAGCATATCATGCCATACCAAGTATAGGCAAATAGCCAATTGTGATTGCACAATCAAATTAATATAATCCAGCTTGACTCACTTCATTTCTGTAAAATGCACAAGGACATTTCACAGACATTAGTTGTTGCTTTCTTTAATTGTGGGTGAAAGAAGAGAAGGAGCTACTTAAAACCATAACTGATAATTTTTTCCATTCAAAAATATGAATCTCTGTGTAAGCGGTGGCTCTTAAACAGACAGTACAGTTCCTCCACCTGGCCTAAACAACACCGGGACACCTCTGAATAACATATCAGCGATGCAGTTTCAAAGTTTATTTCAGACACTGATTCACCAACTTATGTACCAACAACTTTTTTAGAAAATATCTGGTGCAGCTGTGGCCCATGGCGGATTAAAAAAAAGCATGTTTTGTTTGGGCATGACAAAGTTGTCTAAAAAATCCTCCAGCTGCAAGCGGCAGAAACAGAGGAATAACTTTTTAACTCAAACCAGATTCAGCTTGGAGAGTTTCAGTGGCGTGAGCTGAACATTGCTGGCTCACACAAACTCAGGCCATTTTTCTGTTTATTTGACAAGCCCAAGTTCAGCCATGCAATACAATGGACAGAAAGAGCCTGAAGAAACAACATGCAACCTTATTAAATTCTCAGCTCACCGAGGAGTTAACCTGCAGCAGACCTTCCACCCCCTTCCTCTTTCTGATGTTGTTTTGCTCTCTCTGAACCTTTCGTTCTTCTCTCCTTTACTCTTCTAAACAGCCCTGTGTTAAATTTAATCGATAACAGACCCGAGCGTCCATATTTGTAGCTCCTAAGTTTTTGTGCATGCCATACCAAGTTGAGAAGAACTTACCTCTTCGGCAATAAATTCCTTTCTGCTATTTTCTGGTAAAACAGCCGTTCACAAATATCCCCCCCCAAACAAACCCCAAACCCTAAAAAACATATAGCTTATGAAGTAAGTCACACTGTATGGGTGCTATTATCCTGACTATCCTGTCCAAAGTATCCTCACATTGTTGTTTGTGGTTGAATGTGTTCCTGGGAGACTGGAGGCAGTGAAAAAGTTGTGAAGACGTATGACTGTTTGACGAGTTGCGGCGTGTCCACAGTGAGCAAGCGTCTGGGGCCTGAGGCTAATATGTTACATATATTCAGTAAAACCAACAGACACCTCGAACTGGTTAAATATTTATGTTTCTCACTTTGGTAAACCTAGAAAGATATATATTTGAATTACTCTTAGTATTATTAAAATAAGAAGACAGGTTTTTTTAGCATGAAAAAAGGCCTTAAATCATCTTTTATTATTAGAGTAAGAAATTTGTAAAAATGTAAGCCTGTAAACTGATGACAACAGTAATAATAATAATAATCATCTTTATTTATAGATATAAGCTGCACTAGTAAAAGTATTTAGTTCACCAACAACTAAATGGGCATTTTGCTTAACATGCCACCCCCACCCCACCCCCCAAATTCCTTAGGAGAAGACATCAGAGGTGTGTCCAGAGGGAGGGTATGAGGTGGCACAAGCCTCAATCAGATTTGCCCTCACACCTAAGGCCTGATTTAGACTCCTGTGTGGAATCTTTGCAGAGACCACAACATAACCTACTTAAATGACAGACATTGTTGCTGGCGTACGTGCTTGTGCTGGTCCACTACGTGTTAAGTACCTTTTGGTCATGCCCCAGTGTTTTATATGGAGTTCCAGCCAATAGAAACAAATCATTTGAACTTATTTGAAAATTCCCTCAGGTCAGTTTTGATAGTATCAGCAATCACCCTCTATGAGTTTGATGATAATTGTGGGTCCTTGATAATGTGACTGTTATTCTTTTACTGGTAAATTCAAAAACTGTGGAGGAAAAGTAGCCAGAAATGCACATGGGAAGTTGGCCATACTGAGGCTGAGTACAATAGTTCTGGGTTACGTTGATCTGACGTGTAGTTGAACTTATTCACTCGAAATTATTGCTTTTTTCTTTCCCGTGCTATTGTTTTCTGAAGTTTTGGTTAGGCTACTTGTTAGTGGCTCCATAGTGTCTGGGTTTACACATTTGCCTAACAAGTGAACGATCACTGTCTCAGTACCAGGAGGACACAAAAATCCCTTTCAGGGTTGTGTCAGGACATTTATCTGGTGTGAAAATCTGCCAAATCAAATATACAGAGCTGCTTCAGTTAGTTGGGCCATGCTATTAAAAAAGGTGTGTATGCCTATATTTCTTCAATCATTTTCAATGAAGCTGCCAGTGTGCAAACAAAAGTGCCCACTCCTTTGTCACTTTCCTGAATTAATTATTATAAATATGTAACAATTAACTAATAATGATCATGTAGCAAAGGGCATAAAACGTATTTCTCTCACACGCCACAATAATGGTTGTTAACCTGTGAAACTAACGATTTTTTGGATTTTGCATTAACAACAAGGGCTGTGGGCTGTGATGAAATGCACGCTGCTGAGCTTTGTTCTAATCTTAACTTTAGTTTAAGATTTAGGCGGTACACCACAGGGGGGCCAGCACACTGTATGCACACTTAAACACCAGTGGGAGCCACTCAGTAGAATAAAATTCCCCTGTTAACACACCGATTTCTTGTTTTCTTGTTTTATGGGCACAGACACATAACAATCTCTTACCTCGGTAAGGCCAAGGAATGTATGTGCAGAAGCCAAATTATAAAATAAATCACAGATGAAAACAATCCTTGCAGGATCCTAACACAAAAATTACGATTCATAAGTGGGTGGCAGCCATTTTCCTCTGTTCCGCTGTCAAAAGGTTAGGTGTGAACATGAATGCGATTCCTCCGAGTGCGCGAATGTGTGTGAGAGTGTGTAGAAATATATGAGTGTGATAGGTGAGGAAGTGTGCTTAATGCCTCACCTGCTCCAGAAACTTTGTAAATGAATGATTACCTGTACCTTAACCTTGAACATAACACGTAGGAGGCAAGAAGTAAAACGCTCAATTCCTCTGAGCTAGTTTGTCTTTTCCTCTGTCTTCCAAGCCAGCGGGATGTTCTCGCGCTTCACTCAAGCTTAATTCATAACAGCAAAGGGAACCCAAAAGTTCAGAGACGCCATTTATCCTGTTTCTCCTGCTTGAAGAGTGTGAAAACTTTCCTTCTTTCTTGGTTAATAAGATCTATCATATCAGAGCAAATATGACCTGTCCTTTGGGCCGATGTCTTTGATATGATCTCGTCAGCAAACCCTCTTCTTGCCCACTTGACATTTTACCAACCTCACATGGTGAAGCTGTTCAAACAGGTCATTTACACCTCTGGGCTGTGTTGTTCTCGGGATAGTTAACAACTCTTTAACCTCTGGCTGTGTCCCCTTCACAATTTAAACAGGCTGTTATCCACCCTCTTTTTCAAAAGCCCAATGCTGGCCCTTCAAAAAGGCCTTTTAGCACTACACTTCTAGGACTGCTGAAGGTAGTCAACTGCTGAAAAACAATTTGGATAAATTCAGTTTGATTCACTCTACTGAAACAGCTGTTTGTAGAGTTTCAAATTATATTTTAAAACATGGAGATGGAGGTGAAGTTCTGATAGGTCTGTCTGCTGCCTCTGACATGGTTGATCTGGGTATCTTCTGAGATAAGGCGGTATCTTCTGCCGCCTTATCTCGCGGTGTTACCTAAAGCTTGGGTAACACCTTTATATTTTATTCTATTGCACACATCTCATACATGCCATTCAAACCCCAGAATGTAAACAAATAAAACCATCTGTTCTTCAGAACAATCAGTTGTCACACACACAAAAAACCCTGACACTCTTATGTGTGCCCCTAACAACATTAACTCTATTAATCTTCAGTACTCCATGAGAGATCCTGGTGTTCCTTTTAGAGGAGGGTTCAGTTTTGATGAGCATGTCTTGTTAAAACTAGTTTTTTTTAATCATCTGCAGAACATTGCTCTTTAAAAATATACCGTGTCTCAGTGTGAAATGGAAATGACTATACACGCTTTTGTGTCATCGCGTCCTCGATCACCCATTATTCATTATTCATTCGCCTGAGTAAATCATCTCTGTGTTGCTTCCAGCAGGTCCAGAACACAAAGCTTCTCACCAGGTCCTATAAAAGCCCACATGTGACGCTGATTTTATCCCATTTAGACTTGTTCCACATAAACTTTAAGGTTCAATTTAAGATTTCTGTGATCCTTGGCTATGTGCTTCCTGGTGAATTAATACATCTATACATGACTACTGGGTCTCTGAGGTCAGCTGGTTAGTGGTTGTTGGTGGTATCTACAGTAGGTCTAGGTACAAAAGTACAAAAGGAGACTTTGCTTTAAAGTTGTGGCTCCCAAGTTGTGGAACTGGCTTCCAGTGGACTAAGATCTGTGGACACTGTTGATGGCATTAAAAAGGAAGCATAAGACCGACCTGCGTAGACTTGCTTTTATTTAGTTTTACCTAATTATTCCATTAATCACTGTATCTTTTTTTTTTTTATGGGAAGCTTACTTACTTTCCCAAAAGCTGGACAACTACACAGTTTGACAGGGGTGTGAGCAGAGTGACATGCAATATTGCTTCATGGTGAAGATTTTTGGGTGATTTCTAGTCTCATGTTGCAGAGGCCACCCTGAAAAATAAAGCTAACACAGCTGGCTGGAAGAAGTGATTCAAATGTGTGTCCAAGTACTTACAACCGTTTACAACCTGATCCCAGAAGAACAATGGTTCTTCATGTAAAGCTAAAGTTTATGATTTTTTTAATTAAATCTTCAAATTATTTTCTGAATTAATGGATTAATTGTGTAAAAATGTCCAGCCCAGTTCCCCACTATCTTAAAATGACGTCTTGTTTTGTATGAAAAGCGGTCCATGACCCGAGATATAAACTGTGTTATAACGGAAGACCCAGAAATGCAGCAGATTCCTGCATTTGGCCGATTTTTAACCACGAGCAATGACGCCTAATAAAAGCATATGCTACGGGCTGCATGCATGCATTCATACTTGCGGGTGCTGTGATACCAGCTGCAGCTGATGCCAACCCTTGACAAGACTTTTATCACCGTTCCCCAGGAGCAATGAACCCAGTGACCCTATTTTACTCTGTCTTCCCCCTGATTTTCTATAGATTTTTTGACGTGCGCCATAATCTACATAATAATAGTGAGTAATCGTGTGGATTAGACGCTTTTTAGGACTCCCTAGCCAAGAAATAATAGGTCATATGCAAAAACGTTTTAAATAACTTGTATATGTAATTTGTCTATTTATTTATTTGAAACAAAATCCCGTTTTTATTCCTACTCCACCATTGATTGAATGCGGTTTCTTGTTGCTATGCAGGTCTGCGGGACTCTGCCTCCTGCGCTTCCCCCTATAAGCAAGCTGGAGCGGCTGTAAAAAAAACAATGAATAAATAAATAAAACATTTAAAAATCTTTTTTTCCGACTTATATGCTTTAAGACAACTTTACTTATATTTTACCGCCAGCACAGGGCGAGAACGAGCAAACAAAAAGATTATCTCTTCCCGTCCTGATGGCCGTCTTTCATTAATGAGGCACGGGCGCTGTCCTGCTCTTCCCCGCACGGTGGAGCCCTTGAGCTGAGTTGCTGATGGGGTTCCCCGTTAATATCTTCCTCATCCCTTCCCTCTGCTTTTTCTTCTCCGCCTGTTTGCCTCCCCCTCTCCTGCTCACAAGAGTACAGTAACACACCAGTCCTGTCGTAGTGGCAGCAGCCGACACAAGCGTGTCCGGTCTCTCCTCGTAGCTCCAGTTTCTGCTCTGCATATAAACTAGCCATTTATCATCAGTCATGGCCGCCGGAGTACAAATTTAACTCCCGTCTTTCCTCCCTGTGGTTCGGAGGGGAGGCTTTTTTCTTTCTTTTTGTTGGTGTTTGTTTCAGGAAGCAAGAGGGGGGGAAAAACATAGAAATATTAGTGCCACACACTGATTTGGATATCCTCTCGGAATTACAATACATCTCACAAGGGAAATACCATTCATGTCAATACTTCAACATGCAGCCGCCGCCGAGGAAGGTGAGTCCGTTATGTTTTTAGTAGGGCTGTGCAGACAATGACAGGCAGATAACA